AAACCGGTCCCTGCTCCTATTTGTCCGAGCCGTACTTTATCGAGCAAGCATGACGTGATCGTGCTACACAATAAGCACAGATCGCATTCTTCGCTCGGTCCGGTGCTCATCCTTCGGAACGCGTCCTTGGAGCAGCCCTTTAAGGACAGTGATACGCGAGCAGAGCCGACCTGAATTCACGGTAGACCTTGACCACGATAAAACCGCGGTCAACCTGTTTCCAGACGGCAGCCGTTCTTTAAAATGCCCCCTTCGAGCGGGACCGGTTAAGGAAGATGGCGCCGATTCACGCTCGTTGCTCTTTACCGAAAAAAGCATCTCCGCTCGTCCCAGAGACGCGTAATGGGCTAAGATCGCGAGCAACTCGGAGCCTGTTTCGTTATGCAACGCGATCGTTGAATCGTTTCGACGATACTTTGGCGTTCTCGATGCGGGAATATCTTTGGACTCGAAAGCTTTGGAAAAGTGCGATCGAAGGTATCAACGATACGGAGAGGTTCCCTTCTTGAAATGACGAAAAGATGTCTAAATACTCGAGCTTTCGAAGCTTCCGAGGAACCTAATTAAAACTCGTGCTGGAGAAAATGTTGACGAGGAAAGAGAGAGAGAGAGAGAGAGAGAGAGAGAGAGAAGGGGAAACGGAAAGAGAAGTTAATCGCGTTGGCGCCTTAATAACCAGCCGTCTCCGTGATTGTCTCGCTTCGAGATCCGAGCAGTGAAAAAACAGAGGGTCGACGTTTATCAGAGCCAGACCAGCTGTTTAGCGAGGAAATCGGAATAAAGCCGTCCCTGTTCGTGGGTGTATATACTGCACGCTATACGCGATCCTCCGTTACTTTGATCTTTCTTGCATTGCACACCGGCGGACTATCACGGTGCAACGACCCTGTCTTCCCAGTTTGCATAACGGTAGGATTCGATTTTTCCACCGCGTTCCTCGAAAAGCTTCGTGCGCCTTTCGCGCTGCGCTAATCTTTCGTGCCGCTTTCCACTTTCGTCGAAGTAAAAAATTCCAACGTTTATTGGATTTTAGAGAAGCGTAATTCCTATACCGTCACAATCGAGTTCCGATAGAAAGAAATTCGAATTTTTCGAAAAGCCAAAGTCGAGGTTAAAGCGGCAGTGACATATCGTTGGAAAATGATCGCTATAGAGCGCCCATAATGGTCCAACGTTATTCCAAGCCGTCGCGGCGTGACGAGCACCGTAAACTTATTTTTGGTGCGAGTTATTTCCGTTCGGGTCGACGGGAACGCCAGCCAGAGAGAAGAAACTTGAACGCGCGCACGAGCTTCGGAGAAAATTCTAAACTCCTGGTCAAACCTCCTGCGTAGATTTTTCTTCCTCTTGCGAGTACCCTGCCGTATCGAAAATCTCCTTTCGTATCACGTTTTATCGATCGACCAGACGCACCCTATCGTTCGTTAGCGTCCGCGCGCTTTCATCAATTTCTAATTGCTTATCGCTTCTTAATTTTCTCATGGTAGATCGACTTGTAAACGTTAATCTACATCCGCGATCGGAACGTTAATCGCGAGTCGAACTTTCCACCGTTCGCGAAACTTGTTTATTCGAGACAGTGGATATTTCTTGTTGCGCGACTTCTTCGAAATTGATCGCTTAGACACGAGCGTACACTTTCGTCTTCTTCTGTATGCAAGGGTGAACGGTAGAAAAACCGTGGAACATGGAAGCGGCGAGAACAGGTAAATATTTGGACAGGATAAGAAACGTATACATCGCGTCACGAAACGTTCGGTTGGTTAGAAAGGAAGGTTAAAGAAGACGGAAACAATAAACAAACGAGATAAAGCGTATCTCGGCCTACGTCGTTCCCGGTCGATTTAAAAAATACAAAGAGGCCGCTCCCTTGCCGCCCTCCTGCCAAAAAGTAAATTCTCTTACGCGCGTCCAATCGATTTTTCAAGAGCGTATACGTTACGCGTATTCCAGTGGAAGCGAACAAGCAGCAACTGGATGAACCAAGAGGTTGGCTACCCGCTACGCCAGCGATGCCGGACTTAATTACGAAGACGCGCGGCGGTTTTAAGTAACGAGAATTGCCCTTACGGGGAGTTAACACCGGTGGAGCCGACTTCCTGCCGGGAAGTGACGTAACAAGAGCAATTACAACGTTCCACGTCGTTCATAAAGAGAAGCGAGTGCCAGTAAACCGGCGTAAAAAATTCTCCGCCACTTCCTGTTCGCCATTCTTGGCTAGACGCGCGCGAGATATTTCGCGTCGCCGCCTCGTCGTCGTCGTCGTCGTCGTTTCCTCTCTCGTCGCGTTCGAAATAAACTTTAACGAATAAGAGTTCCGTCTTTAGCGTCGTTCGTTAGAGGAGAATATACGAAGCTTTTGATTTTAACCAGAGATTGTTCTCTGTGATCTATTGAGAAAAGCCTCGGAAACGCGGTGTTGTTCGATCAATTTTCGATGCGACTCGTCGAGAAGTCACGGTATTCCACGTACGTATCTAGCCGTACGGCGCCGATTGCATAAAACAACGGGCCAGATTCGGCGGTTGCCAAGTTGTGCAACAAGCGGCGTTAGAGAGGAAAATAAGCGCGTACCACGACGAGTCGCAGACGTAACAAGTAACTTTGCGTAAAATACCGTCTTCTCGAACAAACTTTTGACCGTATATCGTACCTTGGAAATATCGTACGAGTTTATCGGTATCTACGCGTCTTTTTAAATAAACCTAGAAGAAAAATAAATTTACGCGGGAGACCGAATGGGAAACCTGCGGACGGTTGCGTGTTTTCCACGACGAAACGAACAGGAGACAACGCAACGAGGCACCCTATCAACGCAGAGAAGAAGAACGCGAACGGTACTCACCAGCAGCTTGTTGTCCACGGTCTTCACAACGATTTCCTCCGGCGTGTACTGGGAGACATCGAATCGCAGCTTCAGCATTTTGCTGTCACCTTCGTCCTGGATGAGCGGGCTGTTCAGGCCATCGAGCCAGGCCGAATCATGCTGGGGGCTCAGAGAACTGCTGTTTTGAGTGCTCTGCGTCGTAGTGCTGAAAGGTACAACACGACGAATCGTCCATTATCGGTTACGTTCTTTGTCACTGTAACTTTTATCACGGTACGATCGTGAACGTGTGGATGACGAAGAAAGGTTAGAAAAAAAAAGAAAAAAAAAAAAGAAAAAATGAAAAAGGAAAGGCACAAAAAGAATATGCGTTGTCGACGACGATGCGATTGCGACCGAAAACAATACAAATGACAAAGGAACGCGTCTCGACGAAGACTCGTTCGCCTACGGGTGACCTGGGTGGTGTACAGTTCGAGAGAAACAGAACCTTACCTACGATGATAGTGACGATGCAACAGGGAGGAAACAATAGCAAACACAACATTGATACTGACTCACGACTCGCGACTAAAATCGTGCGCATCTACTCTGACTAACGATGCGACAGATCGAGAAACTCGATCGCTATAGCGTGGCACACGCTCGCCGGTCACGATGGCGTTGCTTTCACGAAACACGCGACAAACCTCGCCAAAAGCGATCGTTACGGTAACGTCACACAACATAATACGCACGCTACGGCACTCGAGTTAATTCGTTCACCAAGCGGTTAATTGTTTGCCAATGCGACTACGTGAACAGTCTCGTGCCCGTTACCTTGTACAGTGTTTTCTTGCCGATGGTGGCTTATGGTTAGCGGTGAGACAGCGGTAGAAAGACACAGTAGGTACAGAGGAGTATGGTACGTACATGGAAATAAAATTTGAGACAAGCGCGCGAGGCAGCTGTTTCGATGACGAGGCCAATTTCAGCGAGTGAGTTTCAGCGGCGGAGTACTTGGAATTAATATCGACGGCGAAAAGTTTGCATCGATCGACAGGCCGAACCGCCAGTCGATAGCAAAGTTAGCAACAGGTTCGTTATTGGCACGATCAGAGCCAAGTAACTGGCAACTTTCGATATTCGACACTCACGCGACTCGAGTATCGTTAACCTCGCGAGAAACGTATTAATTTAAGGATACTCGTCCGCCATGGCAATATTAATTCGATACGTTCAAATTTAACCGCATTTTCCCTGTTTTACTGGAAGCCAGTACGAAAAAACGTACGCCACGAATTATACCACGAACGAGTATAATTCCACCGAACAACAAGCCGCCAATTCGCGTTTCTTACGCAAAGATGAAAAACAAAATGGCGAACCTCTACTAAGGAGAACAGGGACTAGACAACTATTCGTACGTTAAAAAAGAAAAAGGAAAAAAAGGAGAGAGAAATCGTTGGTTTTTTTCTCTGTGTTTACAGTAGCGTCACCTTTTGAAGCTGTCGAATGCGGACCGCTTTGGCGGTGCTGCAGGGTCGACCTTGTCCCAACCTTCGGTCTTCGAGGTCGTCGAGGTTCGGTGTTCACTGGTGCTCGTGTGATGTCGACTTCGAGTTAGTCACCAACGTGCCAATGCAGAGAGCCAATCAGAAGGCGAGACAGAAGTCGAGCAAGGGGGAACAGGGGACATTAATATTTTGTTAACTTCGGTGGTTAGTTTCGTACAGCCGCATTTCTCCTCGCCGCCAATTTTTCGTCTTTTTTCTCTTTCGACAAATTTCCGCTGTGTCCTGGCGTCAAACGAATCGTCGATAGCAACTTCGTTCTTCCACCGGTCGATTATAATTATCATTATCGTTGCTAAAATAAGTCAGAGATAAGGGGCGACTGCAGGCACGGTCGGCCATTTCTTTTCGAGTTGTATCTTTCGAATTAGCGCTTTAAGCTTTAACGGAAGAACGAAGGAAACAACTGGACGTTCGTAGAGTAGAGCAAAGTAGAGTAGAATAGAGTAGCCGGTTCGGTTTGTCGCCAGGAAACGGTATGTACAAGAGGAGTTCCAAAGAAGGTCCATTCCCAGGATAAAATTGTTCCGTATTTACATACGAAAGAGGCGTAAGAATAGCGCTGCAAGTTACATCTCCGCTGGTTATTTGAAAAACCGTTTACAGCGTGTCTCCAAATAGATGGCACTCTTATTTAGAACGTCTGTGCTTCAAGTTGCAAAGCGATGTAGAACACAATTCTCAACGTTGCGAACGTTGCCTAGCAGTTCCCGAATCTCTACGGAACCTCGAAACGATAAAATTCATCGCCTGTTCGAGCGAAAATTGGTCGCGTACTACTCGATCGTGGAATTCCAGGCAAGCAAGGAAAGCCACTTGTTTGGGAACTGCTGATGCAATCCGTTCGTTAACGCTTCGTGTCACTGCTGGTGGTTACACGCTGTTACATCACTCGGCAATTCGGTAATTAGGTAGGCTAAAAACCAAGTATCCGCATCATGCCAATCAGCCATTAAAAATTACTTTGGCGAGCCAGCAACCGATCACGGTTTACATCCTGGGAGAAAGATCTCGACCACGCAATTTGCACTGCGTACAACGCGCTGTACATTCGTAAGAGAAAAACGAAACGTTTATCAACTTGTATAGCTAAAAGTATTGCTAGAAACTCGAACGTCCGATCGTTAAAAGCGGCCGAGTACTTGAGAAAAGAGAGCCGAGACAAAACGTGGCATGAATATTTTTAACGCGTTCGAACGTGTCGGTACTTTGTTCGACTCGACTTCTCAGTACTCGAACAATCGCAAAATTAACGCTGCTATTAAGAAGATACAAGCTGTTTTCCGTCCGCTGTTTCGTCCCATTTCCGAACCAACTTCGTTACCGATCGATGCCGCACTAATCGCTTCGGTTAAACTAATCCACGACGAGTCGTCACGAATTAACTTATCCAGCTTCGTCGTCGTTATTTACAGCGTATCGACGGTTAAATGCCAGCACGATGCGAGTCTCGTAAAACCGATAGCCGGAAGTTACGGGTCCTGCACGCTTGTTCGAGGAGGTCGCCGACCCGCGGACCTTTCTAAAATAGCGCGCTACGGCTGTAACGTCTCGTCGTATTGCCCTCAAAATTAGCCCTCCGCTGTACTCTACCCTTGCACGTGAAACGGATATCTGTTTTAGAAAGTTTAATAATAATCTTCTCAGCGGTACGTGTCGTCTCGTCGTGCTTTCGCTATTCGCTGTTTCTTCGCCTCTTCTTTGGCCATTTGATCGAACGCGTCTCATCGAATAGAATGGACGGGTGAGAAAGAACGCGTATAGCGAAACCTCGAACTCGTTTTAACGCAACGTACGCAAGTAACAGAGATGTTTCTTTGGCATCGCTGTTGTCGGATAATTTATTATTTCTTATCAAATCGCGACCATGGAAAACCTTGCGAACGATTCGCAACGATCGTGAAATCAATATCAGTCTCGAAAATCTAGCTGATAAAAAATGACAAGTACCATTAAGCTGTATTAGGAAATAACGTTTTGTTTTTTTCAGATTTTTATCGTAAAAAAACCAACGCGCTTGAAAACAACAACCGAACAAACACGTACACGGAACACGTTCGACGACCAATCTCTTCTATTCTTAGGACAAAATTGTCTGCGATAAAGTAACGATTTCAAGAAGAAAATATCGCTGTATACTGTCACGCGACATAACGTGCTCGTGCACAGATAGTTTCGTCCTCGATACGAGAGAAAAAAGTAACTGGCGAAACGGTAGAAACTGCACGATTCTACATTTCACGTTATGCACCGCGTTGTACGGGCGTTCCCTCGACGATCCATGTTCGTAAGATTCGAAGAAATATTCGATGGACCGGCAACTTGGACGTTTCGAGATTTTTCGAAATTTAAGAGCCGCGTCCGAACTCACGCCGAACCAACTTTGATTCGACCTTTCGATGCCAAAGCGTAAATCGATCCTAAAATATCTCGCTTGCTAAGATATATGTAGACGGAGAAGCGGCTTAACGACGACCTGATGCCAAAGAGGATCAAAAAAAGGTAAAGAGGAGTGGTAGATTTAATGGGTGGTTCGTTGAATGGTGGCAGTGGCGGTGGCGGTGGCGGTGGCGGTCGGTCAACGAAGTAAGGGGGAATAAAGGGAGCTGTTTCCCTTTAGCAAACCTGTTTCACGCGAAACAAAAGCGGGTCCGTATCGAAAAGATCGCGATGTCTGTCAAAATGCCTTTCGGACGTATAAAACGTGCAGGAAGCGTTCTACGAGATGAAGTATGGAGAAGGCGGCAGGAGAAAGGCTCTGTCTCGTTGCGGCGAGTCACGAGAGGCGAACCGTGCCGAGCAGGATCTCTCCAACACGGAATCCTTTGGCTCGAAAGGCCACGCGATACGTCACCAACTCGAGATCGAACGCGAGCGCGACTTTCCATCTAGTTGTCGTGTTCCATCTTCCACTGCATTTTCAAAGATTTTTTCGCTCGATTCCTCGTTTCGTCGAATAGGAGGAGATGCGTTTACCGCGTACGTCTCTAATGCGTCGAGCTCGATGGCGACTATAATTTCATCGCGCAAAGAACGAACATAAGACAGAGGACATCCGATTTATCCCTGGCAAGGATTCAACGAGTCGATCGTAAATTTCTCAGTATGGAATGTAAATGGATTTGTACTTGGCCTAGAAAGACCGCCTGAAAAAAAATCGATGACTAGCTCGCCCGAGATTGCCAATAAGTTAATCGATTTGCCTTCTCCTTGCCTCGATCGATCGGGCCGCGAGTAAGTCGAAGAACCGAACACCGACAAAGTCGAACCAACTGTAAGTCGTTTTTCCTATCGAGTAGAATCTATCCGTTTCTTTCTTTTAAATTATTCCTGCCAAAATTTGATCGATCATTGATCAATACGGAATGACGCACGGAAGCGTCTGCAACATTTACTGGCATTGGCAAATACTGCAACAGAAAAATACACGTAACGTCGATCGTGTAACTATCCACTGTGATGCGTCAGAACGACTGCTTTTTTCATTACGTTTTCGCATTACGAAACCATGCGCACCGTGTCGACCAGTCGACCGGTTAATTCGATCGCAAGCAATAGAAGCGAAAACGAAACGATAGATCGTTCCTAGTCTATACACGTCGCATACAAATTTCCCGCAGGACGAGTAAAGAGCGAATAAGCACTGATTAGGCCCGATTCGAAACAAAAAATCGGTGGCTATTTCGCTGCTTATCGTATTAAGCGCGCAAGATATCCATCGATAAATTCCACACGAATACATACGATACGTATGTACTCTGCGTACTATTTGACTATCGACGGTCTGTTTATTCGATGGAAACGAAAAATTCCAAGGAAAATTACGCAGCCAGAATACGATCGCTTGCCTCCGCAGCATCGCCAAACAACTTCCTCGTTGTCTTCGTAACGAGTTACGCGCGCATATTAACCAAGCATCGCGGCAAAGGAATTCTCCGAAGAGGAACTGGCGTACGGGCCGTGAAACGTTACGACGAACGTAAATCTGATCCGCTGATCGTAGGTAAGTAGCTGAGTCTCGACATCGATTCGGCATGCTGCACCAGGGAGTACGCATATAGAAAATGCGTTACGCGGCCGATTAATTCCACCGCGATGATTACACGCGTGCAACATCTTGGATCCTACGCGTTCGGTGGATCGAACGCCGTGTACGTTTCCACGAAACGTTAGGTCGAATTAATTTCGTGCAACGTTCGTTGCTATAAATAACTCGCCGCTCAAATTTCCGACAACTTGCACGAGTAATTACTTAGGATCAAAGAGGATCTGGAAATTTGTTCGAACGATTCGCAAGTGGCTCGGCACGGTTATTACGTGCTCCGAGCTTTCAAGAAATCTTCGAGTTATTTAAGGAAATTTAAGGGGAACTTGGTTTTCGAAAAGTCGGAAGCTTCGAGCTTGCGCCTGGTTCTTTTCTTGCGCTCTTCTTGCTCGTTCCATTACCTCTAATTTCGTTCGACGAGTACCAAACTGCATATCCAAACTGCTAAACGTACGAAATTACGTCTACCAATTACGTTCAAGGTCTACTTTCTTCCGTACACCGATTCTACAACAACGCGGTAAATTTGAATTGCCTACTGCGTGCTTGTCCTCTTAATTCGCAATTTGTCCATCGATAGCGCGTTGCTTCGTCGTGTTCTCGATAGTTGCTCGATACCTTTTCCTATGCTCCACGGTTTCTGTACCTCGATCCTCGAGTCCCGATAGACGCGAAAAAGCAGAACGGTCTGTTATAGGTGGTTTTATAATTCGCAAGCGATATAAGCGATCGACTCTCGGTTCTCTCCACTGATTCGTCCCTCGCGCGTATTAGAAAACATTTTCGAAAGCTCGCGGCAACATTTATTTCGAACGATACTTGTCTATTTGTGGCTAGGCCGTCCCTGAGCACCGATTACGTCACCAACTGACCACGTGACTCGTCGGACCTCGTAACTCGTAATGGTCCATATTCACCTCCCACGGATCGACCGACCGCGACGCGATCATCTGTCATCGATTCCGTGCACCTGCTGCCCACTCGCCAACCTGATTAC